TTGAGTATCATTTACATGTTAGTAGTGTTAGAAATGTCTCGTAGTTCGCTAAGTACCATTATTAACTGTTCAGTAATACGCAATCTTTTTAATATGTGAACTTCTAATCATTCCCAGCTGATTGTTCTTCAGATAGAAATAAAATATACTGTTCCTAATCTACTGGTCTCTTTGTATTATAGAACAGTATATTTAGAAAACAATACTCTGCCAAAATTAATGTTAGTTACTAAATTTAAATGTTAATAAAATTAAAATTGTTTGTATAATATAAAATAACCAATTTTAAGATTATGAAATGAAAATTATTGTAAATAATTTTATGACTAAGATCCAAACCATTTCAGATATGTCTCTTCATTATCTAAATTTTTTTGGCAAGTCTGCAAGAACTATCTAAATAATTAATAGGAGGATACAATACCCCTTCCTCTTAATATTTCACTATATTAACTTTAAAAAAAAATTGTGTTGGAAAGTTGAAATCTTCAGTATGGACAGATAAGAGTTCAATTTGAAGGAATAAGGGAATTAATGTAAGGGTCTTCAAAATAACAGTTACAGGTTTAACCCCTGATTTTTTAATAGATAAACTTAGCAAAATATTGTTTTTATGCCCTATAAAACTATTTTAATCAAACCAATACTAGCATAGAAATCACAAAGACAATTCCATATTTTGTTTGGACTACAGGCTACCATATTAAAAAACTTACAAAGGGGTAAGATTTTCTATCACTGTCTTCTGTATTGACAAAAATATAGTCATTTTTTCTGCAATTCATTCTATTCCTGTCTTTTAAAGAACAGCTTTTTTTCTCTGCTTCTTCCCAAAATCATTTATATTTTTAAATATTTGCAGTTTTGGAGAGGCATTGTAGATATTAACTTATTTGTAATGTATTTTTATAGGAATATTTTAAAAAATACTATAGATCAATCTGGTCACTGCAGTTCAAAAAAGATGTCACAGACCAGTTCAACCTGGGAGTAAAATTGCCAACTACAATTTTCAGATCGCCTTCAATGGCTGCTGCACAAAGAGATCATTTCAACCAATACAACCTGCAGGTCCACAAAGGTCATCCACTCATGCACGCATGTGCACATGCATACGCGCGCGCACACAGACAACCTCCCTTCCTTCCAAAGAAACTTCCCCCTCACAGTGATCTGTTTACAGATTGCTGGATTCCCAGCGTGGAAAATGATTTTGTGTTCTTTTTGTGTTCTTTTGATCTCCAATCAAGATTATTGCTGTGAGCAACACATTTCCATCCAGCAATCCTTTGCAGATTGCTGACTCGTAATGGCAGCAGGAACAAGCAGTTTAGTATCTCCAGCCAACTGGATGCTATAAATACCCTGGAAAACGAACTGATTGATAGGAAAAATGGGGAGAGCTTCCAATGACTTCTCATGCTCTTTGTGAGGCCACATACAGACCAGGGACTGTGGGCTGAATACCTATATTCTAATGCTCTAATCATTGGCATGTTTTCTTTGGTTGTTTTTGTTTTACCAAACAGAACTATAGTAACTGAAATATTATAAAATTATGATTCAGTGTGCACTATATGATAGGAAGTTATGTGTACAGTCCCCGATCTGACTTTTAGTTGATGAGAAATCTCTCTTTCTTGCCTATATTAAACATTATTTGTCTTCCCTCATCTAATCCATACAGACTGTATGATAGAATCTGAACAGCTTCCTTGGATTTCAGTGGAGAAAAGAGATATCATGAGCATGCAGATAGGCCTAAACTCCAAAACTCTGGACAAACTTCTAGTGCTTTTATATAATTGCTCAACATGGTGCTCAATGGCAGACGCCATAAACTTCCCTCAGGACCTGCTAAAGCATCAGGCCCTTTAAAGGTGATCCAAGCAGGGGTTTTCCAATGCAGCATGTTCCAATACTTACGAAAAGAAAGGGTACAAAAATGGTAAGTTAGAGAAACCCAGAGGAAGATGCTGGAGAAAGATGGGGAAAGTCATGAAAGGATGGGAAAGATAAAGGAAGGGAAGGAGAAAAAACAGAACTCAGAAAATTAGAAGGCAAGAAGGAACACAGATAATGAGAAATGAAAATGAAAAATCTGAAAAAGATCTCAGTTGGTTAGATGGCGCTAGGTAAGGGGGAAGAGAGAAAGAAGGGAGGAAAACTAGGGACAGAGCAAAGGAGCCAGAAAGAAACAGCATTCGCATCAACAAACACACACTGTTTCCACATAATCACCTTTACACACAAAGAAACAGGGATTCACAATATTTTGTGAATGGCCACTACACTCAGACCATTTGCTATGGCATTCAGGACAAGATTTAACAGTTGAAACGTGCCCTGGGATTCAAAAAGATTAGAGACCCTGCTATGGGACTATAACAATGTTGAACAGAAGTCCTCTAGCAGCACCTTCTGAAATCCTCCAAGCCTTAAACCAATCAAACAATTCAGAAGGATACCCAATATAGAATGATAGTGACTTGACTAAAATCAACAGGGACATAGTCCTCTTGTTTGTTTCCTGGAATACATCATCCACCAATTTTCACAGCCTAGTTATGTTTCAACAGAAAATAAACAGGTCAGTCATAAATCAAGAAATCCACTTATGGTTGTACTTGCTTGTAAAATCTTAAATTAGGCTTTAGCCTTTTGTCTGGGTTGCAAGGGAGGGCCTTAACAGTATCCAACTCAGTCCAAATGTTAAAACTCCAATAAGCAGTCCAAGTACAATGATTAAATTCCAAGGAAGGAAGGAAGGATGGAAGGAAGGAGTTTCGGTGAAACTTAAAGAAAGGTGAAGAATGTAGTAGAAGTGAATGAAGATGGTTTGATCCTGACCTTGCAGAATAGAGTTGATGAAAACACATAGTGTGTGCCAAAAAGTACACATTGCTGTCAATTAAACTGTTGTAGGTATTTATGAGAGTAGGAATCCACTGCTGAATATTATACTCCAATGAATGGTGATGGAAGAACCAGGAATGATTTTTTTTTTTAACAAAACTGCACAACTTGCTGAATGAATATGATCCAGGGGAAAAATACTCTTTAGGTGACATGGATGGGGATTAGACGAGAAAGTATAGAAAAAGTAGTTGAGTCATTCAAAGACTCAAGAATGAATGAGAATTGTGAACTGTTTGGTGAGTAGAAAAATACCCATTTGTTTTGAATAAGTGGTTTAAGAAGCATAAGTCTATTTATACATACACATGGCAAAGAATGAATGTAAATTTTAAAAGCATGATTGATCTGATTGTTTAGGGTGAAAGACATAATTTTGAAGGATACAAGAGTGGTGAGAGGTTCTGAATGTGGGATATATTGGCAGCTGTTCCAAACCACAGTGACATTAAAATGACAAAATCTGTATCATGTCATTATGACACAGGCTCTACCCTTTCATGCTTGTGTCACAATATCACATGTAAATATATATGGGGCTGAGTTTGGATTGTGATGTTGCAAAACACAATTTACACAAATTAACACTCATAGTAGCCTAACATCATAGCCCAAAGAACTAGCTGCTCTCTCAGCAGCTACTT